TAAATAAATCTTATTTGTTTTTCAGATCCGCTGAAGTGGCCGCATATGGCCCTGATGCTTATGTAAGACACATTTCACTATAAAAGAAAGTCTCTGAACATCTCTGAGCATTACCAGGCAAAAAGATGTGCATCAAGCTGAACCTCAAGGAAAGTTCTGGAAAATTGGTTCTAGGCACATCTTTCATCTGATTATTATATTTAAGCCTGCAAGAGAATTATACTGAAACCTACAAGGAAGCAATACAGGTCTGCATTAATACTTGGACATATCCAGCTTTTTATCCTTCCAATGATCTTATGAATTGGATCACTCTTTCCTCAAATTTACAAAAGAAGAAATGAAACTAGACGACAGTCCCAATGGAAGCAAAAACTAGAAAATGAGGAAATTTCAATAAAGAAATAAGAATTTCAGCCTGGGTTTAATCCATTTCTGTGCTGTAAAGAGGGTGGAATATTTTCCAAGAACCAGTGATCCCAACTCTCAACCTTTATTGTGCCTCCACATGTAAATGCACGTTGTAGAAATCTTTGGGGCAAAACCTGTTTTCTGAATGAAATGTCCCTTCCAGTGATTTAAGTAAGTGAGGGTCCTAGAGCTATCAGCTGCACAAGAATTATGTCTTTTTCAGCCCACACGATTAACCTCTTTTGGATTGGTCTCTTAAGTTTCTGTGTAGACAGTTCTGTGTGCAGTGAAAAAAATAACACACTTATTTTTACCAAAGAAAATACAATTCGTAAGTGCATGTGTCCTGATAGTATTAATGACTGTGATTATAGCTTGGCAAATCTAATTTGTAACTGTAGGACTGTTTTGCCCTATACAGTAGACAAAACCTATTATAATAATTTGGTAATTTGGTTTACTGAAACTGATATGTTGAGGATCCTGTTAAATGTTACATCTGTACATAATCTAAAACTCTCACTCTGTGGCACTATTCCTTTGACAACAAAATATTTGACTATTTGGGGATTACAAAAATTACAGATAAGAAGTGAGAATAATGGCCAATTAAAACAACAAAGTTTAACAATCTCTACTAACTGTGACAATGGAGCCCAAGGCAAGTTAATGTCATACAAAGACAAAAACATGATTACTCATGTTGCTGTTTTAGACACATCTCTTTTCAGTGGAAGTGGCCCACTGAAAGCATACAGTGTAGAAAATATTTCTAACATTTCAGACAACTTTCCACACTTGGACAATTTTTTTTCTCCAAGTAACAAAAGTTGTATCATAACATTCATTTATTAACATACAAATCTTGGCCATTTATATAATATAAACATTATAAATTGGGTCATCCTGATATATTGTAGAAGCTAAACTTCTATTGCTCTTTATATTACAAAATAATAATAATAACAGGGAGATGAATAAACTTTAGTCCTAATAGCCCCTATTTCAGTATAATCTACAGAATGCTATAGAATATTTTAGCTTAATTCAACCCCAGAATAGTTTTGTTCCAAAACTATTAATATTTGTAAGTCTGAGCAAAATAAGAGAAAATAGTTTTCTTGAGAACATATCTGAAAAAATGCATAAATCTGCTTTTGCATAATGGATTGCACTGGCATATAATTAAAATGTTTGCATTAAAGATTAGTATCATTTAAACTGGAATTGATTAATAGCTTCTAAAATAATCTGGGTTAAAAGCTAATATTACCTGAGTGGGCATATAACATATTTTTTGTAGTATAAGATTAGAACGCTGTTTAGATGTTAGAAATTGCTATCTCTATCTGATCTATTTGGCCAAATAAAGTTTTTCTTAATCTCGCAGTCCGAAGCTCCCGATTTTCTGCAACATTTATGACGAGCCTTAGCCAGGATATTGAGGAGCGATATTTCGCTGAGGACGGCGCCAACTGACCAGTGCCCAATTGAGGCCGTCTAGTCAGGTGCCAACAGGGAGTTTGTCTGGGAGGAGACTCACGACCCCCCTGAGCACTTGGTGGACACCAACCAATCCAAGAACTAAATAAAGTTTTTCTTGATCTCACAGTCCGAATCTCCTGATTTTCTGCAACATGAGAGCTTTATCTTTAATCAGATAGGACTATTCTTTATCTTCTTTTTTCTGTTTTCTTTTGCTAGCATGCCAGGTGTAACTTAAAACAATGATTCATGGCCTTACCAGCATGCAATTAGAAATAGCAATGCATTTGATTTTGTTTCTCCTTATCGTCTTATCATACATATTCTTCTTTTATATTCATTAGTTTGCCATGATGTATGCATAAACCATGAATTAGAAACAAGTGGATATTTTTCATAGGCTTTCAGCAAATAATTACCATTCTCATTCCTTTTTGGGTATCACAACATAATCATTTTTCCTGTAGTCTTTCATCTTCTCAATCTCTAGCGCTGAGACAGCCAATTCGGATGCCTACTTGGGACAACTGATTCAAAGGTAACTCCCCACCAAAAGTCCTGAAAGAAAAAAAAGTGTATTATACAATTTTGATATAACGTATTGTTGCAGAGAGATGTCATTAAATCTGACATTACACCATCTGTATTACAAATTGATATGTATGGCAACTGTTGCAGCAAAAACTTGATATACCAGATATGCCTGTGATTTAATGGACATTACTCAGTTAAATGAGAATGAAGTCAAAACCAAATTTTATCCGTTCTAACAGAAGTCCATTAAGCCACGATTATAGTGTTGCACACTTTAATAAGGAATGATTAATATGTAGCCTACTATATTTTATTCCCAGCGCTTTGAAAAATCCCTTGCTGCTTGGCCGGAAATGTATGTTATTTACCATATTAAACCAAAGGATATTTTGAAAATCTCTGCCGAGTTTTGGTTTTTTTTCATCTTTCCTATTACCTACTCCTATTAGTATCTTTTGACTATCACTTGTTGGTTGTATATTCCGACTTGTGATTGTATCTTTATGAGTTATCACTTTGTTGCTTGTATGTATCTGCAAGCTTATGAATCGGAGACAAATTTCTTGTGTGTCCAATCACATTTGGGCAATAAAGAATATTCTATCTTTCATTTCGCTATCAGTATAAGACGATCGATCGATCACAACGGCAACTTCGCTACCCTACGGTCATTTCTATACACTGATCATTTTCCCGCCCTTCCACATCCGTTGCCAAGGGACCATTCACGTCACAGGCCTTCCTCCACTTTCCCCACCTACGTTATTTCCCCCCATCTCCCTCCTTCCCAAAATGGCCGACTTCTTCTATTACCATCTCGGCAGTGACTCTTGCCTCAATCTATGGTCTAACTAGGCGCTCTAGCCAACAGGGCGAACTCGACGGTAGAACCCTGTCTGATATTTCTTCCTCTGCCCATGGCAGCAAAGAGAAAAATAGTCAAAAGCGGCGGTGTACAGTAGAGGGCGCTATGATGACTTCTAGGCTATGACGCTGCTCTTGCTGCAGCAACAGGGAGGGAGCGAGGAGTGACTCGCGGCGTGCGCGCTCTCGGCGCCGTTGCGGTAGTTGCGTTTTTTTTCCGCGCTTGTCTTTTCCTCCCCGATTCTTCTTCAAACCTTCCCGCAGCGGCGGCGGTTTCGTGGAAGAAGAATGTTCCGCAAGGCACGGCGCGTGAATGTGCGGAAGCGGAACGAGTCCGAGGACGACGACGAAGAGCGAGATGAAGCGTTACCGTCGCAGCCGCCGCCGCTGCCAGAAGGTGATGGGCCTGCGGCAGAGCCCGAACTGCCAGCGCCTAAGCCGCCGTTGCTGCCTCTCCCGACCGGCTGCGTTCCTCTGGTCTCCACCGCCGCCGCCGCGTCCTCCGGCGGAGGCTTCGCTTTCAGCAGTCCTGAGGCGGTGGTCCGGGGAGGCCCCAATTTGCCGGCCCCGGAATTGCAGCCGCCGCAACCCCCGATGGCGCTTCTACCGCCGCCGCCGCCTTCGCAGCAGCTGCCATTGGGAAACAACGGGCACGTGTCCTCTGTTTCTAAGCCGAAGGAGCGGAAAAGGGGCAAAGAACTGGGGGCCGCGCCTGGGGTGCCCCGCGGAAGCCGCAACCTGCTCAGCTTCCAGGACGAAGAAGAGGGTAAGCACGCATCGACCCGGCTCCTTTTCCTTTTTTTCCTCCGGGGCCTAGGGCTTCGGTTTTTCTCTCCTTCCGCCATCCGCCCCGCATACGAGCGCTTGTGCTGGTCACATTTAAAGCTCGACGAATTCGTTATTCAGAGATACAGGTAGTCCTCGACTTACAACATTTCATTCAGTGACTGTTCAAAGTTACAACGCCACTAAAAAGGGACTTATGACCATTTTCACATTTAACGACCATTACAGTGGCCTGATGGGCATGTCCTCAAATTCAAACACTTGGCAGTTGTCTCATATTTGTGATGGTCTCAGCATCCCAGGGCCAGGTGATTACCTTTTGTGACCTTCTGACTAGCAACTAAACCATGTTACTAAATTAAGGACTGCAATGATTCACTTAATAACTGTGGCAAGAAATGTGGTAAATAGGGCAAAGCTCACTTAACAAATGTCTCACTGAACAATAAAAATGTTGGTCTCAGTTGTGGTCGAGGACTACCTGTATTAGATTCCCCAAACACACCACATCAAGCCTGACTTTTTCCTTATACTTATTTGAAACTTGATATTTTACCCAAGCTAAGTTTCCTCTACTTGGAAGAGTTCCCATTTAGAAAACAGCACAATTTGTATCAAACTTGGAAATGTTTAAGTTTTGTAGACTTTCTCCCAGACTTGGAATTAATTAGGCAGCCTGTTAACAGTAGATTCTGGGAGTTTGTTCACACATCTTAATAGTCAAATTTGAAAAATACTGGTCTACATACAGCATATGGATCTTCCTTCCCCAGGCAAGTGCCTACTAAAACATATTTGGCTGTAGTCCATAAACTCCCAATATGTTCACTACAGGGAGACACAGTTCAAAGTGTTTAGAATTGTAAGGCATGGGAGAAAACTCTGTCATTATGTATACGTTTAGCAAAATTTGGGATATAGCAATAGTTAGGCTTATATACCGCTTCATAGGGCTTTCAGCCCTCTCTAAGCGGTTTACAGAGTCAGCATATTGCCCCCAACAACAATCTGGGTCCTCAAATGTATATTATCCCTCAAATGTATAATTGTTTTATAGGTGTGTGGAAAAGAGGTGCTTGAGTTCCCAATATATCTTGGTTAAATATTGCTGTTATAAATGAAAGGTCAGCTGTGGGACTGGAAGGAGGATAAGAAACATACATTATGTTTTCAAAGAAGAGACTGAAAGTTATCACAAATGTTTGAGATGTTTTGGATTTCCAGGGAAATCACTGTGACAACTACAGCAAAATAA